CCTGCCTCTGCTTCCCGAGTGCTGGGATTAAAGGAGTGCACCACCACCCAGTTTAGACTATCTTTTTTTTTCCCCCTCTGACTTATTGGGAACATTTGACTTCATCTTTCTCTTTTTAAAAAAAGAGATACAACTATTTCTTTCAGTTTACTTCTGGCTTACATTTTCCAATATGCCTTTTAGCATTTTGTATACATTTTTGTAGAGAAATGTTTAATCTTTTGCTGGTTTTATGAGTCAGTCCTTTTCACTTACCAAGTTCAGTTTACATAATCCTTATTGCCAACATTTTAAGAATAACTAGTTATTTTTTTCTCCCCTCACTTTTATAGCTTCATTTTTTATTTGGGGGTTTTGGTTGTTTTAAAGACAGGATCTTGCTATGTACCCCAAGCAGGTCTCAAATTTGCCATGTAGCCAAAGCTAACTCCAAACTCACTGTCTTCCTACTTCAGCCTATTGAGTTTACAATCAAGATTACATGGTATACCTCCAGATCTGTCTATTCATGGTTTTATGTATGTATGTATGTATGTATGTATGTATGTATGTATATATGTATGTATAGCAAAGGTCAGCAACAGGGGCTGTACCTTAGGAGCTGTCTACTTTGGGTTTGTTTGTTTGTTTGTTTAAGACAGGGTCTCTCACCTGCCTGGAACTTGCGGGCTCAACTAGGCTGATTGGCCAGTTATTCCTAAGAATCCACCTCTCTCTCCCTTCCTAGGTCTGTGACTAGAAGCTCACACCACCATGCCTTTTTATATGGGTTCTGGGGACCTGAGCTGGGTCCTCGTGTTTAAGACAGGGTCTCTCACCTGCCTGGAACTTGCGGGCTCAACTAGGCTGATTGGCCAGTTATTCCTAAGAATCCACCTCTCTCTCCCTTCCTAGGTCTGTGACTGGAAGCTATGGGTTCTGGGGACCTGAGCTGGGTCCTCATGTTTGCTAGGCAAGCACTTCCTGGTTGAGCTGTTTCCCTAGTCCTTGTGATTTTATTTATTTATTTATTTATTTATTTATTTATGGTTTTTCTAGGCAGGGTCTCTCTATGTGGCTCTAGTTATCCTAGAACTCACTCTGTAGACCAGGGTAGCCTCCAACTCACAGAGATCTACCTGCCTCTGCCTTTCAAGTGCTAGGATTAAAGGCATGCATTACCACCAACTGGCCCATGGTTTTATTTTTAATAGTATTTATACTTTATAATAATGTGTATCCTTGATTCATTGTATTACAAGAATGTCCAAATTAATACCTAAATATATTCTGTTGCCACAAACAAAATCTGACTTTTATCCATCTCAGTGTCTAGGTGTATGAATCGACTTCATTCAGCCACTCCATCTCTTCTAGTGACCAGTCCCCAAAGAATAACTCTTATAAAGCCAAGAATCACATGATTCTTTTCAACTCTTACTATTTTTATGTTTATATAATTTGTATAAACTCTATTTAGTTGACTGTGGTACCTGTTACCCTTTTACCTGGGAGGCTGAGGCAGGACAACCCAGAGTTCCAGGCTAGTCTGGGCTACTTGGTGAAATTCTATCTCAAAAGGAGGGAAGGGAGGGAGGGAGGAAGGGAGGAAGGGAAGAAGGGAGAGAGACTTCAGACTTACCTTCCAGACCAAGTCCAGGTATCTAAGTTTAGATAGTGTAAGTCATTCATCCTAGTTTGCTAAAATAAAAGCATGATAATTGGACAGTGTTTCAACTCTTTTATGGAATAAAATGTTAGTTTTCAAACATGTTCAGATTAAGCACAAATTGTTCTATTCTACTTAGCACTGGAAGCTAAAATATTGGGAATCAATTCTTAACACTAGGAAAATTAACATGGAGCTCCCAGAATAACATGCCCTAGAGGCACATGGAAGAGATGGGTTTAAACTAACAGAGCTTAGGTGATAAGACTTTAAGCATTCCTGACCCTGCACTCAAGTGAAGGGTCCTCATTAAAGTAGGATTAAAAATCACCTACTACAGTGCGTGCAGGGTCTCTTATCTTTGGGAAACAGAAGATAAATACAAATTAGTACTAGGTGCAGCTTAATCTCTAGGTTATTTGACTGTTGGATGCTCCACAAAATCAGAGGACAAGTCTTTATAAACATCACACATGAAAATATCATTTCCATTGAAAACACTGACCAAAACGCGTCCGCCAAAGATATACCCCTTATTTCCCAGAACTGCACATGAATGCGCGGCTCGTGGCTGTGGCGGAACTCCACCCTGCAAGCAGAGATCAGAACAGAGGCAGACTTGAGGCAGCTGTACCAGCCAGATCCTGTGCTCAGTCAGAACTACAAATAGCTTCTTCAAGAATAAAATGCATCCTCTGCCCTTAAATGCCCACCACCCTAACAAAATGAAAGTTCATAGAAATTTAGCTTGAAATATAAAGATTTTAAAAACCAAATTAAAAAAAAAAACAATCTTTCCTCTCTTCTCCCCTTAACCCACACCAAAGATCTAATATTACATCTCAGAGACTAAGAATTTATTTGTGGTCCCCAAAGTCCTCAAATTCACAAAACTACTTCACTGATGGTTTAAGTCAAAACAAAGAAGCCCTTTATCATTTTCTAGACATGTTGGATTTTAGAAGTTGTTTTGTTTTGTTTTTATTTTTCTTCTTCCTAAAACTCTTAGAATAAAAAAACAAACAAACAAACAAACAACAAAAAACACTTCTCTATGCTTTATCTTGAATGAAGCTCATCTGATGTTCCAGGCTCACTTGGGTAAATCCAGCTGGTATAAAGAATTAGCATTTACCTCTGTAACTGTTAAATTAAGAGAAAACCATTTTAAAAAGTTGATTCCCAGCTGGGTAGTGGTGGCAAACACTGTAATCCCAGCACTCAGGAGGCAGAGGCAAGTGGATCTCTGTGAGTTTGAGGCCAGCCTGGTGTACAGAGTGAATTCCAGAACAGCCAGGACTATACAGAGAGACCCTGTCTTGAAAAAAACAACAAAAAAAAGTAATTGTTAGTAGTGTTTGAGGCCAGCCTGGTGTACAGAGTGAATTCCAGAACAGCCAGGACTACACAGAGAGACCCTGTCTTGAAAAAAACAACAACAAAAAAGTAATTGTTAGTAGGTTTTAAGGGAGCTTCTTTGGCTGGGTGTAGTGGCCACACCTTTAATCCTACCATGGGGGTGGTAAGAAGATTGCAAGTTCGAGACCAGTGTAGTCTACATAGTGAGACCCTTTCAAAACACCAAAGACAGAGAAGGGAAGAAGAGAGGGAGATTGTTTTATATGCAATTACAAAACCAATTACTAACATCAAGTAACTTGGGAAGAAAAGAGATTTTTTTATACATCAATGAATGTAAAAGAACCCCCCCTCAAAAAAAAAACAGAAAAGCATTTATTAAGAGAGGGAAAGCCAGTAAGAATGAGCAAGGGCTGGAGTTAGAGGACCAGCTTCAGCTCCAGAGGTTTCTGTGTAACTCAGTAGCACTTACTTTAATTTCTGGTTGAGACCAAGTCCTTGTCTTTGTGTCAAACACATGGACATCATTGTGCCACCCCCAGAATATCTGCTCTTCCTAAAACAGAAGCAAATAGTTCGGAGATTTGTAGCCAACACACCAGCATAGCTCGGCTACATAGTGACTGTGGAAGTGACGGGCACACACCATACCTCACAGCTGCCCCTCAAGCCCATGCCCAGTGAGGCCCAGCTCCATTACCTCCCCAATCCCTCACTCAGGGAGTTTCCACTTATTCAGTTGCATGAGACAGAATGAATATTCTATTTTGGAACCTATTTCAAACCTTATTTCTGCTACAATAAGCTTTAGATGGCTATTGCTTCTTGTATTCAAAAGGTATTATTGGGAAGTGGGGGGTGGGCTGGAAAAACTGTTCAACACTTAAGAGCACTGACTGCTCTTCCAGAGGACCCAGGTTCAATTCCCAGTTCTGACATGGCAGCTCACAACTATTTGTAACTCTAGTCCCATGGGATCCAATACCCATTTCTGGCCTCTGCCAGCACCGCACATACATCGTGTCAGACCTACATGAAGACAGAACATCTATGCACACAATATAAAAATAAAGGTTAAAAAGACTGAAGTTTTCCAGGCAGGGTGGTATCTTCAATCCCAGAACTCAGGAGGCAGAGGCAGGGGGATCTCTGAGTTTGAGGGCAATCTGGTCTATAGAATGAGTTCCAGGATAACCAGATAACCAGTGCTAGAAAGAGAAAAACCTTGCCACAAAAAAAAAAAAAAAAAAAAAAAAAAAAAAAAAAAAAAAAACAAGCAGAGACAGGCGGATCTCTGTGAGTTTGAAATCAGCCTGGTTCACAGAGCAAATTCCAGGATAGGCTCCAAAGCTACACAGAGAAACTCTGTCTCAACAAACAAAAACAGAGAGAGAACAACTTAATTCATTATACCTAAGACTTACAGTGATGCTAAATTAAAGAGAAAAAATTAAAGCATGATTACTTCCTTACCCAAGATGCATCATGGACATCAAAACAGTCTTGAAGTTCACTGTGCCTCCTGTACCCATAACCACCAAAATATATTAATCTGAAAATCAAATGCAAAAGGATACACTTTAGAAGTCTTGCTTAGAGTCTGTTCAGAGATAGTTGAACTGACTGGGCACCATTGCTCATGCCTACAATTCTAGTACTTGGGAAGCTGAGACAGGAGGATTCTCATGTGTTCCCAAGTGAGTCTGAGCTACATAATGAATTCCAGGCTAACTCCAGAGTGAGGTCCTGCCTCAAAAACCACAACCACAAAAGGAAGTTGAGGGGCTGAAGAGATGGCTCAGTGGTTAAGAGAACTGGCTGCTCTTCTAGAGGACCAGGGTTCAGTTCCCACCACCCACATGGCAGCTCACGTCTGTCTGCTCCAGGGGATTCAATACCCTCATTCAGGCAAAACACCAATGACCATAAAATAAGTAATAAATCATTTTTATTTATGTATTTATTTATTTTGGTTTTTTGAGACAGTTTCTCCATGTAACAGCCATGGCTGTCCTGGATCTCCTTTGTAGACCAGACTAGCCTCGAACTCACAGATATCTGTCTGCCTCTGCCTTCCAAGTGCTGGGATTTAAGTGTGCCAGCACACCCAGCTCCAAAAATTAGTTTTTAAAAAAGGAATTTGAAATAGATTCTTTTCTCTTACCTTAACCACCTAAAAAGGCCAAATAAACTACACAATTATAGTTTTTTTTTTTAATCAAAGAACTGAGGGAACAATCAGATTTAGAAGAAGTAACTCCAGCAGGTGATGAACCCATAGAAGGAGAGAAGAGACCCACAGGCATCCTCACACCTCCAGCAATGGCAGGAGAGAGAGAGGAAACAATATACATGGAGACTCATAAAGAAAAACCACCAAGCTGCCAACTGTCATGCTTGGACTGGGATGGCAAATTAGAGTCAGAAGAAAGCCAGCCTCAGGGGTTTTGAACATAAGTCCTGACTGTTGGTAGTCTTTAGGGAAGGCTCAGAATTGGTCATCAAAAGCTGATGACCACAAGCTCCCTGGTCTAGGGGCTTGTGTGGTAATTAGCAGTGGAGTGCTTGCCTAGCTTGTGTGAAACTCTGGGTTAGGGAAGGCTCAGAATTGGTCATCAAAAGCTGATGACCACAAGCTCCCTAGTCTAGGGGCTTGTGTGGTAATTAGTAGTGGAGTGCTTGCCTAGCTTGTGTGAAACTCTGGAATGAATCAGAAGAACTGAAGGGAAAGAACTGAAATTTGAGGGGATGGGTGAGCAAATCCCTTGGAGAGAATTTAAGTTTTCACCATTGGAAGTCCCTGGATCTGAGCAGAGTTGCTGTACCTTGGAATCATCTGAGGAGTTTCAAACAGTCAAACCACCAGGGGCTGTGCTTGAACAGGCTTTAGAGCTTTAGAAGATTCCAGTAGCAGCCACTCCCAAGAACAAAAGAAATACAGACTTCCAGACTCTTTGTGTTGGGGGCAAAGGGGAAGACAAGTGGACAAGGTAGACAGAGGAAGCTGGACTTCCATGGCATACTTTTCAATATAGCTTCAGTTTTTAATCATGTCAATGTGCTAATGATCTAGAAACACAACTTAAATAAATTATTCAAGGTGAAAAATCCAAATATCGTTTCTTCCATGTTCACTTTTATAACACAGTTCTTATCAGTTTTAGGACTGCTGTTGCCACTACATCAAAACAAGTCTATAATTACTGGAAAACATGATGCTTCCTTAAGTGTGGCCCAAGGCTATCTCCTAATGTATGGACATTAAAGTTCAGCTGCTACCTTACCTGTCCTTATACACCCAGCAGGAGAGTTTGTCCCGTGGTGTGGGTGGCTGTCCATCAAACTTGGTGATTTTTTCCCAGATATAAGTTCCATCTCTTGTCCGTAAATTGACAAAGTAAAGCTTTTAAAAGATGACAGTAGTGTTAGGAGTCAAGGCATCTGAAAACTAAATCTGCATGGGGGAAGGAGCCTGCCATCCAAAAACTAACCTGACTTTTATCTCCAATAAATATCCATTAGAAAATTTAATTTCTAGAATAGATGAAAACAAGACAGGATTCCAGGAGCAAAGGATATGTAAAACAGTATACTGCAACAGTCTTTCCCCCCTCTTCTCTGGCCTGTGGGTAACAAACAAGACTGCAGCTAACTGAAGTAGGGAAACAGAGAAAGAAGAATATGGCTGCTGCATTCTCCATCTCTTTAAAGCCTAATGACTATAAACTTAGGATGTACTCTAGTTATCTTCTTTTTAAAATATTTGCAAATGTGTGACATGGATGACACATTAGGGATTACATGTGGCTGCACTCTTGAATTAAAAGAGAGGATTACTCGGTTGCTGTATCCTTTGTCATCATATCCTCCAAAAACATACAGCCTGCCATTGATGCAAGCCCCACAGCTTCCTGACATGGAGGTGGGGAGCTCTCCTTCCATCAGGTGCATTTTCCTGCAACAAGGACCACAGAGAATCTCTTAGCTTTCCAGACGGCAGAGGCTCCCTGTAAACTTCCTGAGTTATTTTTCCCCTGGCCAACTATAAGTAAAATGTAATTGTAGCCAGGTGCTGTCGAACACACCTGTAATCCCACTGCTGGGGAGACTGAGCCCGGAAGGTGAGAGTTTGGGGCCTGTCTGGGTTACAGAGTGAGACCTAACTACCCCCCAAAGAAAACAATGAATAAATAAACAAAAAAGTATAAAACGACCCATAATACTTTTCATCCTGCTGGGGGTGGGGGGGATAGTCACAAAAGTTTCCTACGGGTCACAGCTGAGTGACAGTGATGGCTTTGAAAGGAATGGGGAGGGACAAGGAATTCGGAAGGAGAGGGAGTAGGGACCCAGGCAGAGAATGAACTAAAGGGAGAGGACAGAGACACTCATCAAAAGTATGCTCTTGAATTCCCTGTAGTCTAAAAAAGCCTCTCTGAGTTACAAGACTCGACATTTTGCAATTTAGAATTACTTACCACAGTCCACTATCAATATCATAGGTCCAAATTTCATCATTCGGCAAGTAGACCTCATTGTCTTCAATAGACTGAAAATAAAGAATGCACAAAATTACTATTTTTCATTATGTGTTTCAATTATACAGTAATAAATAGTTCTTTGGGGTGAGAAAGGCTAAAATAAATATTTAGAATAGCCCGGAGATGGTGGTGCACGCCTTTAATCCCAGCACTCCAGAGGCAGAGGCAGGCCAATCTCTGTGAGTTCGAGGCCAGCCTGGTCTAGAGTGAGTTACAGGACAGCCAAGGCTACACAGAGAAAGTCTGTTTTGAAAAACAACAGCAACAATAATGTTCAGAATAAAACGAGAAATATATGAGTCTCAAGAAAAAGGCTCAAGGTAGCTAAACTTACACACAGAAAAACTCAGACACAGCAGAGCATCGCAGGTCACACATTATAGAAGACAGTGCTTCAGGTGAAGAGAGTTAGGGAAAGAAGGGTTTTGTTGTTGTCGCAGGTCACACATTATAGAAGACAGTGCTTCAGGTGAAGAGAGTTAGGAAAAGAAGGGTTTTGTTGTTGTTGTTGTTGTTGTTGTTTGAAGGTATAACTAGGCACACTGCCCCAGGTACCTTAACCCACTGAACACATTTTGAGGGTGCTGTGGGATATTTGTAGACTGTGTGAAGATGTATTGCTGTGATTGGTGAAGAGCTGAATGGCCAACAGATCGGCAGGGAGAGGTTAGGTGGGGCTTCAGAGGACAGAGAGGACTCTGGGAAGAAGAAAGGCAGAGTCATCAGCCAGACACAGAGGAAGCAGAATGGGCAGTATAGAGACTCCAAAGAGAGACACTAAAGAGGTTGGATATATGGGACAAAGTAGAGATAACCAAGCCACGTAGATGGCACATTAATAAAAGCAAGTTAATTTAACTAAAAAATTAAAAAAAAAACAAGTTAATTTAAGCTATAAGACAAGCCTAAGTGCCGGACAGTGGTGGGG